CTATGTGTGTGTGTGTGAGAGAGTGAGTGAGTGTGAGTGAGAGTGTGAGAGAGTGAGTGAGTGAGTGAGTGAGAGTGTGAGAGAGAGAGAGAGTGTGTGTGTGTGTGTGCGTGTGAGTGAGTGTGTGAGTGAGTGTGTGAGAGAGTGTGTGCGTGTGAGTGAGAGAGAGAGTGTGCGTGTGAGTGAGAGAGAGAGTGTGTGTGTGTGAGAGAGTGAGTGAGTGAGTGAGTGTCTATGTGTGTGTGTGTGAGAGAGTGAGTGAGTGTGAGTGAGAGTGTGAGAGAGTGAGTGAGTGAGTGAGTGAGTGTGAGTGAGTGAGTGTGTGAGAGAGAGTATTTGTTTGTGTGTGTGTGTGTGTGTGTGTGTCTTCTGTCACAAGCACACTTGTATCTAAGACTGCCAGATAACTGAACCGGATGAATGCTACTTTCCAGAAGAAAATAAGCAGCATAATTAGTCTGCTTAGTTATCAGTATTTTATCCTTTTAACAAAAACAATCATGCATACCATCTGTTAAAAAAGATTAAGCAAATATTATGTAAACTATACTTAATTGTTATGATATTGCTGTATTACATACAGAAAAATCTCAGAAAGCTTACTAATATGTGCTTTTAAAGTGCTGGTATGTGCTATTTAGGGGCAAATAAAGTGCAAAGACGTAGCTTTCCGCTCGTGTGCCTGAAACCCTGATAGAGCCGTAGAGAGTGATCATCTCTGTCAGCGCTCACAGTAATCACAGCAGAGCTCTCGGTCTGCACGAAAAACACAAACACGATCTGGCCACCTCTCGAGGATCAGCCCAGAACACAGAGCACTGAGAGCGAAAGAGCTGTGAATAAACCGTGCAAGACGAGCGCATTAGGTCTAAGAGTAACACTGCTAACAGACGGGTTTCTCAGCCAGAGCATGTGAAAGACCCGAGTCCTTCTGGAGGGAGAGTCCAGCGCTGATCACTGATCATGCCATTAACATGAGCCGTCTCACTGTCAATGATTCATGCGCAAGTATTTTCAACCCTGCAATCCTTAATAAAAATCTCAGGACTTGCTCTTCGCTGTGATGTGGCACATGAATTAAAAAATATAATGCTGCGTGTGGACAAATCATTCATTTGATACATTTTACAACTTTGATTACATGGCGACCTTAACTATATGATAGGACACGAGTATACGCTAAAAGCTCATGTGGGGTGTTTTTGCCCTCATATCCTGAAAGTTGGGTTCGCTCTAACAGTTGACTTCACACGCTGAACGCTCAGATTCTTAAAGCGACAGTTCACACTCAAATGAAAATGTGCTGTTCATTTACTGGCCCACAGGCCGTACAAGATATAGGAGACGGTTTTCTTCTTCAGTAGAAGATTTTTAGCTGAAACCGTGATCCTTGGTGACTGAGTAAATGTGAGTCAGCAGCAGCAGCCCTTTGAGAATGAAAAAAAGCTTATAGAGGAACACAACATTAACGCCCGTGGCTCCTGAAGCTATATTGAGGTCTTATGAAGCGAAACGATCAGTCTGTGCAAGAAACTACAAGTTACTCAATCAGAACTCACTTTGGGACGCCGGAGACTGGAAATGAGCGGAAACAGAGGCGTATCTGATCCGGTGATGAACGAACGGATTCAGCTCCAGCTCCTCCAGACACTGAACCGAGCGAACGGTTCGACTCGACTCGGACCGAACACCGTCAACCCAGCACTTGAATGAAGGGCCAAATGAAGGTTTTTATGCTTTCTCACGGTTTATGTATACAGGTGAGCTGATGAAGACTAGCTAATCACTTGATATGCTTTTGACACGTTAAACATCAGCGTTTCACATCATTATTGAGTGCTAATAACACCAACAGCTGGCCTTCACTGAGCTCAATTCCTCTGAATTCACCACCACTGACAGAAAACAGCCGTGTCTGCACACAAGTACTGTGAGAACACCGGCTACTACTCGTGGTGCTTTTAAGGCACATCCAGAAAGTGTAATAGCTGCAGTGTTTTGGTGGTTCGCCATGTTACTGGCTGAAGGGCTGCACCGCACACACAGTGTCAGCTGAGCTGTGGGCCTAAACTCAGACTGCAGCAGCATCGAGCGAGGAAGCGCTTCAGAGAAGACCGAGCAAGCCCGCGGGCTTTACCGTGTTTACAGGTGCTGTGTATCTACAGCTAGCCAGCAGCAGTTAGTCGCCTCGGCTCCAGACACGCATCTGATCTGGAGCCCAACGCGCAGCGATGCAGCAGCGGAAGCGCCGCAGAGCCGCCGGAAGCAGCAGCTAGCACGGGCTAGCAGGGTTAGCAGCACTTAGCAGGGCTTCACGAACCGTCCCGATCTGGCGAAGCTGAGCGCACACGGTCACAGACACACGACTCACCTGCTCGCGTGGAGTCGCATTCTCCTTGACCGAGCATTAGAGGTGTTTTCTGGCGACAGATGGACACCGTGAGAGAGAGCGCTTCCTTGTTCCTCCGCTCGGCTTTCCTGCTGTTCTCACGGGTTTACACGAGCGACTCGTTTAAACACCAGCACCCATGATCACACGAGCCCTGCCGATGCCCCTCTGTGAGCCCGAGGCCAGTGTCCAGCGCTTATGCCTCCCGCACGGCCGCTGACTGACCGAGCACAGCGTAACGGATAAACGTGCCTTTTGTTCGCGCTGTCCTATTGTGCTGCTCTGCTGCGCGTGTATGAATATTAAATCTGTCTCCTACTGTCCCCGTGAGTCCAGACCAGCTCGCTCAGCATCCCGACGCCGTCACACTCTGCTCCTGCTGCACGAAATCAAATCAATAAATAACTATGGTAAATAAAAAAAATATGGAGAGTAAAAAAAAAAACAATACGAAAGCTCCTCCCGGTCTGTTCGTCACAGCCGAAAGGCATCATGGGAAATGTGGTCCATTAGTGCCCTACCCAAAACATTCCTGTTATTTATATTGCTGAGATCCTTGGTGACTGAGTAAATGTGAGTCAGCAGCAGCAGCCCTTTGAGAATGAAAAAAAGCTTATAGAGGAACACAACATTAACGCCCGTGGCTCCTGAAGCTATATTGAGGTCTTATGAAGCGAAACGATCAGTCTGTGCAAGAAACTACAAGTTACTCAATCAGAACTCACTTTGGGACGCCGGAGACTGGAAATGAGCGGAAACAGAGGCGTATCTGATCCGGTGATGAACGAACGGATTCAGCTCCAGCTCCTCCAGACACTGAACCGAGCGAACGGTTCGACTCGACTCGGACCGAACACCGTCAACCCAGCACTTGAATGAAGGGCCACATGAAGGTTTTTATGCTTTCTCACGGTTTATGTATACAGGTGAGCTGATGAAGACTAGCTAATCACTTGATATGCTTTTGACACGTTAAACATCAGCGTTTCACATCATTATTGAGTGCTAATAACACCAACAGCTGGCCTTCACTGAGCTCAATTCCTCTGAATTCACCACCACTGACAGAAAACAGCCGTGTCTGCACACAAGTACTGTGAGAACACCGGCTACTACTCGTGGTGCTTTTAAGGCACATCCAGAAAGTGTAATAGCTGCAGTGTTTTGGTGGTTCGCCATGTTACTGGCTGAAGGGCTGCACCGCACACACAGTGTCAGCTGAGCTGTGGGCCTAAACTCAGACTGCAGCAGCATCGAGCGAGGAAGCGCTTCAGAGAAGACCGAGCAAGCCCGCGGGCTTTACCGTGTTTACAGGTGCTGTGTATCTACAGCTAGCCAGCAGCAGTTAGTCGCCTCGGCTCCAGACACGCATCTGATCTGGAGCCCAACGCGCAGCGATGCAGCAGCGGAAGCGCCGCAGAGCCGCCGGAAGCAGCAGCTAGCACGGGCTAGCAGGGTTAGCAGCACTTAGCAGGGCTTCACGAACCGTCCCGATCTGGCGAAGCTGAGCGCACACGGTCACAGACACACGACTCACCTGCTCGCGTGGAGTCGCATTCTCCTTGACCGAGCATTAGAGGTGTTTTCTGGCGACAGATGGACACCGTGAGAGAGAGCGCTTCCTTGTTCCTCCGCTCGGCTTTCCTGCTGTTCTCACGGGTTTACACGAGCGACTCGTTTAAACACCAGCACCCATGATCACACGAGCCCTGCCGATGCCCCTCTGTGAGCCCGAGGCCAGTGTCCAGCGCTTATGCCTCCCGCACGGCCGCTGACTGACCGAGCACAGCGTAACGGATAAACGTGCCTTTTGTTCGCGCTGTCCTATTGTGCTGCTCTGCTGCGCGTGTATGAATATTAAATCTGTCTCCTACTGTCCCCGTGAGTCCAGACCAGCTCGCTCAGCATCCCGACGCCGTCACACTCTGCTCCTGCTGCACGAAATCAAATCAATAAATAACTATGGTAAATAAAAAAAATATGGAGAGTAAAAAAAAAAACAATACGAAAGCTCCTCCCGGTCTGTTCGTCACAGCCGAAAGGCATCATGGGAAATGTGGTCCATTAGTGCCCTACCCAAAACATTCCTGTTATTTATATTGCTGATTTTTTTTTTTTTTTTACAGCACAATGCTTCAGATGTCATATCAGTAAATAACAATAATAGTGTTTTTAAATCCATACATACAACAACAATGACAATAATAATAAAAACCGGGCTACGGTGGTTTGGCCGTGTCGGCTGGTTTGAGCTGGTCTGGAAGCAGCTGCTAGAGGAGCTCGAGTGTGAAGAGAGTCAGATGTGTGACTGTGCGGCTAGCATTAGCAGCTAACACACACACTGCCGCTGCTGTAAACACATCGCGCATCCGCTCAGTTACTCGTTAAACACGCATCAGCGGCGTCAGGTCAGGGCTAGATTGGCTTCGGCTGGCTCTCAGCACAGAACTGAGTGAAGATGATCAAGCTTTTCTCGCTGAAGCAGCAGAAGAAGGACGAGGAGTCCGCCGGAGGAACGAGAGCCGGAGCCGGCGGAAAGAAGGCGAGCGCGGCCCAGCTGCGGATACAGAAGGGTACGAGAGCCACAACAGCCCGCCAGAAACACCCATTATCTCTCTCTCTCTCTCTCTCTCTCTCTCACACACACACACACACACACACACACACACACACAGAGAGAGATTCAGCTCGGATTCAGTCCGGCTCGTTTAAAGACAGGTTTCCTCACGCTGCCCAGCGACAGTAGCGTTAGCATTAGCCACCGCGCTAACATGTAGCGCACTCTCCGTCGGTCCGCGCGGTTTTGTTGATATTTCCTCGGTGTTTGGACACTTCAGAGGCGTCACCGAGAGTGAAGCTCATGTCTAAAGTCGCACAGCACGGCACAAACACTCGTTCTCCGCCAGAGCAAACTCGCTCTCAGTCACAACATAGAGGCCTGCTCGGTTAGCGAGCGTTAGCCTCATCACGAGCCGCACAGATGACCGTAAACCATCTGTCTGCTGCTTTCACATCACCTCTCTGAGCCTGCGGGACACTTCAGGCCGTCACAGAAAGCAGCAGCTGACCGCAGTAAACCTGGAGACTCTCGTGATTAAACACAGCGCCGTCAGAAACCACTCAAACATAAGTTAAAGTAAGTGCGAGGGATGGGTGAGCCATCTTTTACTCGCGCTGTTCTGTCCCTGCGTTCAAAGTTCACTCCACCAAAGCCTCGAAAGCCACATATTAAAGTCTGTCTGAAACGCATCCATGTGAAGAAGGTGGTTTTCTGAAGACACACGAGTGCTTTAAGTGATCGACAGGTTTAATTTAGGCTTGTATTCACACATGAACATCGAGCTCATCATGCATGCTCAACAGAAGCTCAGTCATGCGAGAACCGGTCCTATCAATGAGCATGCATCGGTTCATTAGAGAATAAGCCTACATCTGTTGGTGTGAAGCGATCGTGTCTCTTCAGAAGACTTGGATTAAGCTGCCTGACTGGTGTGGAGGCCTCTGACTGGAGGGACAGAGTTTCAGGAGCTCAGAAGCTCTTCAGACACTGGGGTTACACTGGTGTGGCCTGCTGTCGGCGGTGGAGTGACCCTCAGACTCTACAATGTGAGCGCTGCCGAGGACTGCACGGCTCAGACCCTCAGACTCTACAGTGTGAGCGCTGCCGAGGACTGCATGGCTCAGACCCTCAGACTCTACAGTGTGAGCGCTGCCGAGGACTGCATGGCTCAGACCCTCAGACTCTACAGTGTGAGCGCTGCCGAGGACTGCATGGCTCAGACCCTCAGACTCTACAGTGTGAGCGCTGCCGAGGACTGCATGGCTCAGACCCTCAGACTCTACAGTGTGAGCGCTGCCGAGGACTGCATGGCTCAGACCCTCAGACTCTACAGTGTGAGCGCTGCCGAGGACTGCATGGCTCAGACCCTCAGACTCTACAGTGTGAGCGCTGCCGAGGACTGCATGGCTCAGACCCTCAGACTCTACAGTGTGAGCGCTGCCGAGGACTGCATGGCTCAGACCCTCAGACTCTACAGTGTGAGCGCTGCCGAGGACTGCATGGCTCAGACCCTCAGACTCTACAGTGTGAGCGCTGCCGAGGACTGCATGGCTCAGACCCTCAGACTCTACAGTGTGAGCGCTGCCGAGGACTGCATGGCTCAGACCCTCAGACTCTACAGTGTGAGCGCTGCCGAGGACTGCATGGCTCAGACCCTCAGACTCTACAGTGTGAGCGCTGCCGAGGACTGCATGGCTCAGACCCTCAGACTCTACAGTGTGAGCGCTGCCGAGGACTGCATGGCTCAGACCCTCAGACTCTACAGTGTGAGCGCTGCCGAGGACTGCATGGCTCAGACCCTCAGACTCTACAGTGTGAGCGCTGCCGAGGACTGCATGGCTCAGACCCTCAGACTCTACAGTGTGAGCGCTGCCGAGGACTGCATGGCTCAGACCCTCAGACTCTACAGTGTGAGCGCTGCCGAGGACTGCATGGCTCAGACCCTCAGACTCTACAGTGTGAGCGCTGCCGAGGACTGCATGGCTCAGACCCTCAGACTCTACAGTGTGAGCGCTGCCGAGGACTGCATGGCTCAGACCCTCAGACTCTACAGTGTGAGCGCTGCCGAGGACTGCATGGCTCAGACCCTCAGACTCTACAGTGTGAGCGCTGCCGAGGACTGCATGGCTCAGACCCTCAGACTCTACAGTGTGAGCGCTGCCGAGGACTGCATGGCTCAGACCCTCAGACTCTACAGTGTGAGCGCTGCCGAGGACTGCATGGCTCAGACCCTCAGACTCTACAGTGTGAGCGCTGCCGAGGACTGCATGGCTCAGACCCTCAGACTCTACAGTGTGAGCGCTGCCGAGGACTGCATGGCTCAGACCCTCAGACTCTACAGTGTGAGCGCTGCCGAGGACTGCATGGCTCAGACCCTCAGACTCTACAGTGTGAGCGCTGCCGAGGACTGCATGGCTCAGACCCTCAGACTCTACAGTGTGAGCGCTGTCGAGGACTGCACGGCTCAGACCCTCAGACTCTGCAGTGTGAGCGCTGCCGAGGACTGCACGGCTCAGACCCTCAGACTAAAACCCAAGCACGTCACTCTGCGTTTTTAAAATCGCATTCACAATTTTATCAGAAAAACATTGCAATTAGATATTTCCTCAAATCTTGCAGCACTACCATAAACCAAGCAGCACTTGCTTAACATTTTGAATGTGAATTGTTGATCAGTTGGTCTTCACTTTCTTCATTGCAGATGGCCATAGAATAATCCAAATTGTTTAAAGGCGCTGTAAGTAATTTTTGGTCTGTACTAAAGCATAAAAACACCATAATATGTTTGCAGATATTTAGGAAACATGATAAATTCACATAGCTGTTTCTCTGAAAAACAACACCGCAGCCAGCTATTCTGCTTTGAGATGTGTGTTCAGTGTCACAATGTGTGTTGTTGTTTTGGTCTGTGTGACTCCGCCCACTGCCAATAGGGCTTCGACACCCCTTGTTGCCAGT